ACGTCGCGATCGAGTTTTAACGTTAAAGGCGTTTCGCCGCGACGCCCGGAAAATCTGTGTCGTACTCCCGACATCCGTACGACAGGATGTCGCGTGCCGCGCCTACCTCGCGTTTCCCGTTCCTTATCTTATCAATACAATAAGACTGATCTCTCATCGTGGAGTCGTATGCGAGAACACTGCCACAGAGGCCGGGCCGGGACCTCCACTAGCCTCGTCGCCGATCGCGTTTGAATAACGGCCCGCGGCCGCTGCAATAACGGATCACAATACTTCGTCACACACTAGTACAAATGCTACCTCACACACGACATACAGGGTGCGCACAGAATGAAGCTTACGAAAAAAAAAAAAATCTCTGTGTATAACACGATAAAGCGATAGTTTGCAAGATCGAATAGGATCGTCGCGTCGCGCCGCCGCCGTCGCCGTCGCTCTTATTTCGGGGCAAAAAGGGAAGAATTTAAAAAAAAAAAGTAGAAAAACTGTTAAAATAATCGTGCAAGCACCCTTTCGCTTCCGGAAAACGCCGACACGGCGTGCGGCGCGCCGTGCGAATTCTTTTCTCTCAGGAATATGAAAACCAAGTACAAACTACAAAGTATAATAGTCGATAAGGTTCTTAATAAACATAAATCAATGAATCAAGCGATGCAATAGTCGAGTGTATAGTAGGAACTGTGTCGGTGTGTTCGTTCGTTAAAAGACCTCTTCTCTCCGATATACATATATCATCAGGAGTCAAACACTTTGTTGATTCACCACGGCGAATCCTTGATCATTCGCCATGGAAATCGGTCTAGGAACGTGTGATTTCCGAATCGATTCGCTAAAAATCGATTTTTGCAAAAAATAGAATCGATCTTTATGGTGAAAAAGAAGTGATTCTTCACAAAAAGATCTATCTAAAATGGTCCCTTTTGCTTAAGAAAATCGATTTTTCGCACAAAAAATATCAGTTAAAATAGCTCTTTTTCTTTAGGAGATCGATCCTTTTATCGAATCGGTGTATTCCTAGACATCACTATAGGACTCGTCGCCGATTTCTCTCTCGCGATTTTTCCGCACGACTAATCGCCCTACGCGCGTCGAGAGACGCGCATGCAGTTACGCATAACATCATAAATACACGCATATAGCGAGTCCACGCGCTTGTCTCAAGTTTTTCTTTACGCGAATTCCTCTCCTGTACGTTAAACTGTATGCGAATGTTCTCGTTGCTACAATATCCCATGTAAGGTTTTACAATCGACTCAGTGCTGGACTATTACTGGCTGTCACAGTTCAGTACTGACGCAGTACTGGTTAAGTACTAGATGATAACTTAGGTCCAGTATTAGCATATAGTACTGGCCCAGTTATTTTAGACAGTCATAAGCCCAGGAATGATTCAGTACTGATTGACAGAGCCTTTACCGTTAGTTGACAGTCATAGGCCCAATTTGTCAACTCATAATTAATCCTTAACCGAGATTCAAAGAATTGGAAAGAATTGAATGAGGCATAACTTGAACCTCAGTAACACTAGAACCACCGAAGTTTGGCACCATCCTAGACTGCCGTCGGGACAAATTTGTCCCGGTTAAATTATTATAATGATTATCGAACCAATGTAGGTCAGTTATAAGAAAAATCTGAATTTTTGAAAAATTCACCATCAGATTCACATTCCGAAATATCATTCGAGAGATCTACAGTTTCGTTTGGTTGCAGGGTTTTATTACGAACAGCAGACATGATTTTAGAATTACGCACGCCGACTTCGTAAAGAAAAACAAAAACATGATTGAGTGAACACTGAGAAATAATGTTTGATCACGACACTACACTTCGATCATCCCCACGGGAGTAGACCACGCATTGTAACTTTCGTGGAATAAAATGTAAACAAAATTTGAGTAAGCACACTGAGTTTAGACTCAGAATTCGGGACAAAAATGACCCGGTGGCGATTTTAGGCAAATTCAATGTTTTTTCAGAACCTATCATATGAACAAAGATAAAATTGTTGATAGTAATACAATACACTAATTAATTAAAAGTCAAAAAGTTCAAGATTTTAGATAAAAAAAAATTGTTAGAGATAACAAAAATAGCCGGCGAGAGAAAATTGACACGGCGGCGGTTCTAGTGTTAACTCTTAAGAGTTAATTGTGAGTTGTGAAACTGGTTTGTAGGCATTGGCATAAGCATTAATTTCGTTGTAACTACTGGCGATCCCATATGGAATATATTTATGTAAGCCAGAAACATATAGAAAAACATAAGGCAGCAAGGTGTAAACAGTATAAAAAATCAGCCAGTTACAGTAAAGAAATGTATAAGAAATTTTACGTTTCTTTACTGTAATTAGCTAATTTGCTTATTGCTTACGTCTTATGTGTTACCAGTTTTATTTTTCGTTGATTCTTGTTATTTGTCCAGTAATGTAAATTGTCTCCTTTCGTAGCAGCGACACATCGCTCATTCTGTTCATCGATTTCTGTTTGATCAAACGAAGCACGACCGTTTGTATCCCACCGAGTTTATGTTTTTTTATCTTTAATATATGCATAGAACGTAATATGATTACTTTGAAAAAGAATGTAATAATAATGAAAGGAAATTCCGTACAACATAGACGCAAATTAGGGCTCCACTTTTGCTTTCCGTTTCGTCTCGGTGGACGCGAAAATCACCGTCAGCAAATTCTCTCCTTCTCTGATTAATTACTGCCGTTTTTCTTTATCATTTTATTTGTTTTCCACATCGCCATGTCGGCGGAAAAACGCGAGTTTTTTTGAGTTGTTAGACGCGAATTGTTTACCTAGTACTCGGAGAATATCAGACTTCACCAGTGCTTACATATAAATAAACAAACGCACACACGATCATAGAATATATTGATAAGTATACGAAACCGCTTCTACCTCAGACTCCGTATCTATATTTATATATATATATATATATATATATCTCAATATATATATATAATTATAATAAATATAACGCGCATTACCTACGGTTCCTCCGGTTTCTCTATTTCCGCGAAGTATTATTTTTGTTCTTCGTTTTCTCTATCATCGCCGCATATTTACGCCGAGATGAAGTCGTAGGTATGCTGGCATCACAAAGTAGACAGCAGACGAATGAGATTTATACGTAAATATACATATATATACATATACATATATATTTAAAGAAAGAGAGAAAAATAGAGAAGGGAATATATATATATACAAATATATATATATATATGCCCATCGAACCTTCCACGATATCACATACCCTCCCCCTTTTCTACCCGAGTATAATGTAAATACATCCGTTTATATTTATTTATTTATGTTTCTATGCGCTGGACGCGTCTATGTTACACGCAATTACAAATTAATTAATAATCTATCCCTATATTAATAACAAGAGAGAAAGAGAGAGAGATTGAGAGAGAAAGAGAGTACACTCATTTTTTAATATAAATATATATATGAAAAAGTATATATATAAAAATACATATAAATAGATAGTTATATATCTAATATTAAGGAATACTTGTTTAGATCTTAAGTGATCCCCGTCGTCGTGGTCCCGCGATGCGACTGCACACTCTTCGAGAGCTGAAGCAAACTCTATCTATAGTAAAGCAAAAGCGAAAACGAAAAAAAAAGAAGACAAAGAGAAAAAAAAAAATGTTTTATGCGTTTATCTGATTGCGCGGTGCACGTTCGGCGAGCTTCTTCCGTGCGCCGGAAATGCCGTAAGACCCGAAAATCACACGGCAAGCATTTCCTCGCATATTTTACATTGATCTGAGTCGACTTTGTTACGATCGAGCGTTGCCTTCCAGGGCTACAAAAAAATCTCGCGTTGAACCGCAAACGCACATATATAAATCGAAATCACCAATTAAATTAGACTTACGTAAAGCCGAGCGAGATTAATACGCGAATCACTACGATTTCTTGACCCTTGCTTTAGCGTAAATACTTGTCGCTAGACGGCGACTATCAACGACCGAGGAGGATATCGCTCGACCTATGGATCCTTTTTTCATTCGACTCGTACGTGCTACATTACTTTTGTTCGTACTATTTTTCATCCGTTCGCGCGGATGTCGAGAAAGCTTTCTTTTCCGGGGTAGGCATGAGGCTCGCGGCGTGCGCCGCGAATACGTGGTTACCAATTTTTGTTTTAAGTTGAGAGATTAAGTTTACGTTACGTAATTATTGCTGTATATGGGGTGGATGGGAGAGAGAAGAGATAGATGCGAGGCGCCGACATCGGGCTCGTTTATCTGCGGCACGAGCAAGGTGCGCAAGGGCATAGTTGCGTTTTCGAAAGTTCGCGGGTTATTACGGACTATTTTATTTATAAGAGGCGACACAGGTACGCGTGCGTGTGAGTGTGTGTATAAATGTCTGAGAGGAAGAGACGTCGATGCGAAAAGAAACAAATGCGAATTCGCACGAGAAAAACGGAAATCGTTGAAAGAGAAAAACATAAGAGAGAAAAGTGTATGTGTGCGTGTGTGTTTGCGGATATGTGCGAAAGAGAAAGAGGCAAAACGCGGAAGTGGAATAGGAAGATTGCCGAAACTCTGCCATCGCAAAACGATCCCAGATGGGAAATGGGGTTAAAAGAAATTCTTCGAAGAGAGAACGTGTAAAAAAATATAAGTTTCTTTTTTTTCTTTATACTCCGAGCGCGGACGGGATGGCAGGGATTCGTGGCTATGCCGTTGAGTGTAACTCACCCTTTTTGTTTGTATAAAAATTAATCGAAATTTAATTAGATTATTAATAACTGTTCGATTACTGTAAAACAAAAGAAAACTTTACCATTAATTATAAATTACAAAAAACTTGGAGCACCATGGATTTCTTTTCATTTGCAACCTAATTCTTTCCTGATATCCTTTCCTTCAGCCATGATCAAATGACAACAGGCATAAACAAGTTACGTGAATTGCAAATATTATTTTTACACAATCATATATTACATGTTATAAAATTAATCGAATATTATTTAGACAAGCGATCTAAAATTATATCAGACGCACGTTCGGCCATCGCAACGAGAACTGAATTTGGCGTGCCGGAAATTGGGGATGGCATTACGCTGGCGTCCATTATCCTCAATCCACTCACGCCTTTTACCCTAGAAAATGTAATTATAATTTTATTACAATTACTCCACTCATCTCAAATGTCATCCTTTAAGACATCCTTTAAATACTCTATCCGTCTCTATCGTTTACCTTAATTCCTCATCTACAACCGCATCGTCCTCCGCACTTATCTTGCAAGTGCCACAAGGATGGTGGCTCGTGAGTCCTGCGATTCTCATAACGCATTCCGAATAATAGACATCCTGATAGTTCTGTCGCAAATGACGACACTCTTCAAAATCGGGGACGTGGACTTTCGCGCCGTACTCGCGAAACAGTCTCGTGTTGAGAGTCTCGAGGGCGAGGTTTATAGCTTAGCGAATAATCGTCAAAATTAATTATCTTCAATTTAAATACATTCACGCTGAAGAAATAGAAATTATAGGTTCTAAAATTCTTTTAAGAAGAGTAAAAAATTTGTTACATATTTACCTCGATGAGTACACATGACATCTTCGGGATCCTGAAGATACGCAGGATTAATTCTTGGAGGGTCGTGGATATCGCTTGATCTCAACGTTATGCTTCCACGACTTTTCGGTTGCAAACACGTAACTAGATAAATAAATCCCTCGTGCATACTGTCGTTATACGACGGAAATAGCGATCTAAATGTCTAATATAAACAATGATTAATTCTTCTCGATCGACATAATAATTACTAAATTACAAATGATAATTGCTGTGAATAGAATCGCGCGCGAAAACAATTATCTGTGCGGGGAAAACAACGACTACAATATGTTATTTTATTTTAGTTAAAGTCCAAATATATTACTGTTGTGGGCGGTTCATTCACCTCAGTCTCGAAATTTGAGATGGCCTTCAGCAATTTTTCCTCTGTGGACGCCACTCCGAAGAGGAGGAGGCCACTGTTATTAGCACGCCCCAATCCCATTACGCCGTTAGTGGCCAACCATCCTTTGACATGCAATAGAGAAAAAATTAGGTATATGGCAAGATTACAACGTCGGCCGTATAAAGTGAGTCTACAGGCATGGTAAGTAAATGACAAGCGTCGTTAATGGCGCGTTATCGCATTTACCGGTTCCGAAGGCGAAATAATTGAACACTTCAGGTATAGTTTGCAGCTTCACAAGTGTGATACTGACTCGTTCGCGTAGATTCACGTAAACGGGCACGTTCAGGTGATCGAATAAATTTCGACCTACCTCTGGAAGATCTTGTACCACGGATATCTAAGAGATCCAACTTATTATTTTACTTGAAATCGAAAAGTTTGACATATAATACTTTGATTTATCACCTTATGCTTTTTCAATTCATTGACAGGTCCTATGCCAGAAATCAAAAGTAACTGCGGAGTATTGATAGTGCCCGCGCAAAGAATTACCTCCTTTCTCACGCCGATTCTCCCAACGGAGCCATTTTTATATATCACTTTAACGTCATTGATTTTGTCATTCTTGAAAAATATCTACAATATAACGTCCGAAAAAATCAGAAATATATATTTATTATAGAAACAAAATATTACAAAAACTATATCATACAAATAATTATCTTTAATCAGGAAAGCCCCCTATTATGAGATAGGCGCTTAACATGAGATAGCGGCGTTTCTGCTAAACTAATAAATGCTATCTGTTGATTCTATCATGAAATTATTGCTCTTGGATTGAAAACTATTTAGTGGAAAATTCATTGTTAGATCATGCCTACAGTAATTGTAAAATAAAATTTTAGAGTTTGAATGTTTTCAAGTTTCATTGAGATAAGCCTTTAATCTTTGTTTATTATTTAATAAGTAATTATTTGGCAATAAATTCTTTATGTAGTAATAGAGTAAGATCGTACTGATAGAAAAATACGAAATATGTTGAATTGTTTAATTAAAGAAGTTAGATTTGATGATCGTAAAGCTGTAAGACGTGATACTCGTAATATGAGATACCCAGGATATTTCTAATATGAAATAATCTATACTTCTGTGCCCAAGTGAAAATCGATGTTAAAGTATAAATGTTATTGTACAATAATAAAAAGAATAACCGGAATGAACATTGAGGGTCTGTTTCTGCAATACTTCATTCCAATTACTACTGAAGACAAATCCTGAATACAATGCATCACATGCTCAATTTACGCGCATAGACTGTACTCGTTGATATGTTAGAAACATCAAATGAAGCTTTTTAATTCTAATACTGATGTACTTTGTGCTTTATTATCGATTTCTCGGGGTATCTCATACTAGGAGCACAATTTTTCGACTTTGCGATTTGTTCACCTTTTACATTTCTTTAATTAAAAAATAAAATAAAATTTGAATTAAATTTTACATAACACTATCTTAAAGCTTATTAATTTATTCTCTTCAAAATGACCTATTATTTTTTTTAATTCTACCAATAAACATTTAGTAATTACACAAAATGAACTCGGTATCTCATAATAGGGGCCTCTCCTCTAATTTTTAATTTTCTGGTATAAAAAGAGAAACGGAGTATATTTTCGAAGAAAAGATGGATTGTCAAAAATTGTTTTCTTCATCATGGTGTATAAAATAAAAATCATAGAGACCTTGGCAACAAGTGTATTCATCAGGATATGTAAATTCTTGCGATTCCAAGCCTTCCGCAAATACGCGTGATAAGTACTCCATCTGGATCCTTTTTTTGCGGTGTACATCGCTTTCCGCAAGGATATATTATCCAGCTTTAACGATTCCTCGGCCAGGACGAAGGCCTTCGTTAAATACTCTTCCTCCGGCATCGGGATAATGTTCATAATATCGGACACTTTTTGAAAGTAAGGGAGCAGGTCGGCGTGCGACCAACCCTTCGGCCATCTCTTGTAGTCCTCAGGCCTTCCGAAGGAGTGAACGAGATAATTAAGCTGCCCGCTACCTCCAAGTCCTTTTCCCCTTGGAAAGTTTTGTCTCTAAATAAACGTGATCAATGAAGGAATTTGCTGCGCTAAAAATACGCGACTCCAAATTCGGAGTGCGAATCTTTGAAATATTCGTTTTGCTATTATATGTACTTAAATATTATATTTTATTATATGTGCCTTTTCGATATAACATTCCCAACTTTTTCCATTGTATTCTAACATTCCTTCATTAATTATTACTTACAATTTTTTATTAATAAAGATACATATGTTTACTCAATACTGTTATACATCTTAATGTTAGGCGTTTCAATTGAAAAAAAAATTTTTATTTACTTGTATAAAAGTTATAAGGCAGTATATTAAAGCAAACAAATTGTGTTGGATATACCATGATAAATTAATGTTTTATTGCCATAGTGAGGCATTTAATCCCAAATTAATACTATTATCGCGGCAATATTATTATTCAGCGCAAGAAATATGTGCCACATTTTTATTTTGCGAGAGTTACGCTATGTATTGCCAACAAATTTCTATAGAAATCGTTCTCGTAAAACGGAAATTCCTTCATCGAAGGATTGAGCTTTAATTACATAGCCGTAGAGCCCTCGGGACGAGAAGACTTGCGGCTCCGTTTGGTAGGCCCAATCGACCTCAGTGCCTTGCATCATCGGCGCTAAGAGCGGCATAGTTGATAACCATCCGAAGTATCCGCCTGCTTCCACAAGCAAAACGGTCACGTTCGACATTTCTGAGAGCCGTGATGCAATCACGCAACCAGACGTACCAGCACCGACTTAAACATACCCGCAACAACGAGAAACATAATTTTTATTATACTAAATTAAATGGAAAATTCATGTGGTTTTTTTCTTCATTATGACACAAAGAATGTTAGCGGTAATACAAAACATCAACCGTTTATTAAATTAAATGTTAGATATGCAAATTTAAATCTAAAATATAAAACAAACAGGATTCAAAGAGTAATGTATGTATAATTAACAACTTTATATCTCAATTAGCAACTTTATATGTCCAAATTTCGCTAAAAAAAAAGAATAAAAATCGTATTACATTATGTCTGTCTGTCTGTTTAATTTAAAGCATTTAGGAGGCACTTATTAATCCAGCATAATGCGATTTGCATCAATCCTTTTTTATTAAAAATCGATGCCGCGTATATTTTGAAAAACGAAACGAAGAAGAAAAAGTAGTGGAATTGCCACAAGACAAAGCAGGTGATACGATAAACATAAACCGGGAAGTTAACTCACCGACAATGTAATCGTAATGCGTTTCGGGATAAACGATAACGCTGGCTGGTTCGCTGAAGTGATAATGATAGAGCAACGACATCAGCAGAACTACGATCGAGATCGATATGTGAGCCCACATGTCTCTTCTAAAAAATTACAGGAATACACGTCCGGCCGACTGTTGCGGCACAGTAATACTGAAACAATGTGCAAGACAACACGGAACTGCAGCGACTACACGTTCGATCCCGATATTAAATTAGTAGCTCTGTTCGTAATCGATACTAGTCTATAAGTCTCACTCTATAAGCGGTCCGAAGCATCGTGACAACGACCAGCGACGCTGCGCAACATCGGAAATACATAATTGTTACGTTAGATAAAATCATACGTATCCGTTGCACTGATACATTCAAATATCGCATTTCTATTTAGAAAATTTCTATTTTTAATTGTCTATTATATTAAGTGAATTGCGAAAAAATATTTTGCGAAACAGTCGCGGTTTAGATATCATTACGCATAATTAATTAATTATGGTATATTGTTTTTCTAAATCGCAAATTGTCCACTTAAACTGATTGTGTTGTAATACCAATAAATGTTATGAGAAGCAACATGCTGCCTGATGTCGCGAGTTGCATTTTCCCTCTGACAATGAGTGCAACTTTTGATCCAAGTTACAGTTTATTCTACTATAAAATAAACATCAAAGCCAGAAAAAGAAGAGAAAATAAAATATATTTGTAGATAAGAGTATATTATTTTTATTACATTCCAAGTAGGTGGAAGTAGAGTTCTAGAGAGTTGGAAAAAATATGTTAAATTTAACATAAATCGCATGTCCCAAACGGTCCACTCAATTTTTTGTGTTAATTTAACATAATATGAGTGTGTTGAATGGTAACACGGATACTATGTTTATATTTCAACAAAAATGGAATATAATCTTAAATAAAACTTGAAGAGAGTGTATAATCAACTTAATTATTATGACAAAATTAACATATAACAAATGTTTCTAAAAAGACGATTCGCCTAACAATACTGCCTAATCCTGTTATAGAGTAAAATCAACCCCCTTATTCTATAAATTTACTAAATACGAGCAAATTGTGTTACTTTAACATATTTTTAAATCGTTAATAACTTTACACTTCATATTCATTATATTCATTTAACATAAGAGGCATATGTTAAATTTATATCTATAAATGTGTACCTTACTAAACAAATACAAATTTCATCATCTTCAGGCATGTTTAAAATTAATTTCGACGAACTTAATCCTATGGACAACGATATTAAAAAAGAAGAAATATCAGTAATGTTTCCTCAAAATCCGACAATCGACGACGATGAGCGTACTTTACCGTTAAGTATTACAGACGATCATCAAGTATTTCATTCTGAAGAAGAAATGATTGTTGATAATGATCATGATTCATCGTCAAGTATTCGTAACAATGAATATCCCTTATGTCCAGAAGATTGTGACATATTCATGACGAATTGTGAATCATTATCTCCGATTACCTTTCTTCAGAAAGGAACTGTTGGCAGAAAGAAATCTGTAACATTTCAACGCGGAAACTCCTTTGTTATATCCCTAAACATTTTTGGGAAGAATTTTGGATTAGTGGGGGTACACCTTTACAAAAAGGATGGATAGATGCATTTAACACAGAATTTGAAAAGGAATATCCTCTTTGTGTTTTAGCCATCTCATGACACAAATGTAGGAATGTATAATATTAAAAAGAAGTTCTCTTTTCAGGCTGTAGAGCAATGCAAACACTCGGAATGCGTAAAATTTAAATTTTTCGTCACAGAGGATATTTACATTCCGTACACTGATAAAGTTGTAAATGTTTATTGGACACGTTTCTCACGGCGATGAACGACATCGTCGCCATATTCGGGGAAAAAAAAGGGCAGCGTTAGCCGATAAGTTAGAAAAACGATCGGCAATAGTAATAAAGTTGGAAATGCTTGCTAAGAAAGACGAAGAAGTCTTACTAGCAGGCAATTTAAATGAAACTTTAGATATTTTACACAAAATATCGAGTGAAAATAGGGCTAAAGACGATCTCGACAAAGATTTCATAATGTTTTGATCAACAGCAAGAACAGGTGCGAGGTGAAGAAGTACACGGTTACATCCAAGAATTATTTTTAATACCACTGTCAGTGGTTCTGTTTAGCGAAAAACAAATTAAATGCTTAGCTTTTCCGATAAATTAAGACACTTACATCTGGATGCAACTGGTTCCATTATTGCAAAATCTGCAGTTCTTAGCACTGCAACTATACAATTTACTATTACGCACTGCTGTTACCAGGAAATGCAAATGTTGGATCATTGCTTGTAGCAGAATTTATATCATCGAAGCATGATGTAACAACAATTACGCATTTTCTAAATGTTTTTAATGACAGGCTTTAAAAAATAACAACAAAAAGAATTTAAAAAATCGAAACAGATTTTAGTCTGGCATTAATACAGTCAGTCTGCAAAACTTTAACCCTTATAGAAATTTAACACTAATACTGGCCAATTAATCACTTATTTTCAGTATTAAAAATACTGTCAACAATACTTTTAATACTAAAAATAAGTGATTAACTGGCCAGTATTAGTGTTAAATTTCTATAAGGGAATGGCATATGTCTGTCCGCAGTTATATTCAGTACGTATATAAAAAATACGAGAAGAAAACGTAACAATTAACCATACGTGCTAGCAAAAAGTTCGGCAACGGTCAAATATCTTGGAAAATAATGATTATGGAAAAAAAAGTTCAATACAAAAATTTTAGTATATCAAGTGATCTATTATACGGATGTATTGAAATGACTTTCATGTGACCTTGAAGGACACCGTGAAGGTCAACTTTGAAATCTTAAATAGAAATACCTATTTTCTATTACATATTCTTAAAGCTGGTGTCAAGGCGTTTCCGAAACACTGGTTACAAACCCTTTTCGCTTCAGATCTTCTTGAGTTATAAACCTTCAAAGTTTAAGTATCGCCGGCGCGTTATCTAAGGTGTACCGCGTGAAGGTGGCACGATTGGATATCCACCTCTTAGCATGCTTAATCAAAGTGAGTCCTTGTGTGTGTGTGTGTGTGTGTGTGTGTGTGTGTGTGTGCGCGTGCGTGTGTATGTGTGTGTTCATGTAATTAAAAAATTAATGAATTAAATGTTTAATTACACGAGTACGCCAAGAGGGACGATAGTCCATACATACTACTAAAATCGATTCATTATCTTCATGACTACTTTTGGATAATTAAAACTGTTCAATAACACATCCTCGTTACGATAAATCGTTCATACAATAAATTCGCGACGTCTTGGTGAGATCTCATTTTATCACCATACCCCCCCATCATAAGAATAGTAATTTTCTCTGTTTTAGTTAGATGTATTTTTAATAGTAATCAAAAATGTAATGGTGCAATCGTGGAAAAATAAAAATTTTATGTTGAAAAAGTGATAAGGAACAAGGGATTTTTCAGATCTTTTTTAATTATACCAGTACACCAAGAAGGACGATAACTCTTGTTTTTAATCATCCAAAGGCGGTCAATTAAGTGATCGAACAGTTTGATTCACTTAAGCTATAAAAGGATAAAAAGTAAGATTTATTGTATCAACGATGTATCGCGACGAGGATGTGTTATTGAACAGTTTTAATTATCCAAAAGTAGTCATGAAGATAATGAATCGATTTTAGTAGTATGTATGGACTATTTTAGTAGTATGTATGGTACCCTCTTGGCGTACTTATGTAATTAAAACATTTAATTCATTAATTTTTTAATTACATGAACACACACACACAAGAACTCGCTTTGATCAAGCATGCTAAGAGGTGGATATCCGATCGTGCTACCTTCACGCGGTACACCTTAGATAACGCGCCGGCCATACTTAAACTTTGAAGGTTCATAACTCAAGAAGATCTGAAGCGAAAAGGGTTTGTAACCAGTGTTTCGGAAACGCCTTGACACCAGCTTTAAGAATATGTAATAGAAAATAGGTATTTCTATTTAAGATTTCAAAGTTGACCTTCACGGTGTCCTTCAAGGTCACATGAAAGTCATTTCAATACATCCGTATAATAGATCACTTGATATACTAAAACTTTTGTATTGAACATTTTTTTCCATAATCATTATTTTCCAAGATATTTGACCGTTGCCGAACTTTTTGCTAGCACTATATGTCTTCGCATTTCATAAAGACGGTTATACAAAAAATGCTATCCGAACGGTAAGAAACAAAAACGCATAAATTCTGTAGCAGCATCAGTGATAGCAACATGTTACACTGTAGCAGTGTATCAGTTGCTGCTGGAATGTATGAAGCATTTGTGAAACTGTTCGGAAATGAACATGAAATAAACGATTTCAATAATTTGGTACAGATTATAAAGATTTTATTACCTAAGACGCAAACAGTAGCTCGGACACATATTTATCACAAGTACAAATTGAAATGTTTCCATTCGACAGGAAATCGTCGCCTTGTTATCAGGCATTTAAAGCAATTGAAGTAAGTGCACGGGAAGGTAGGTAATTATGAAAACCGAATTCATATTTTTGCAAAGAGTTCTTCGACTATGTCGCGGACATTTTAATGCCCTATTTCCCCCTATGGTCAACCACGGGTATCGCACAGTTCAATTTAAGTCGTGACAGCAATGCTCCTGCCAAGAATTACTTAAAAATTTTAAAACATCAAGTCTAGATAGGGAAAAGTAGTTGTATTACACCGATTCTGGACCACTATTGATATAAAGGCCACGTTGCCACCAGGCGGCGTTAATGTCGCGGCGGCGGGTGGCGGGTAGCGGTGGCGGACCGCGTAACTAATAGAGACGGCGAAAGAAAAATGAAAATGATAAATGTTTTTTACTCCTCCTTTTCCACCTCCTCCTCCTTTTCATCCTTTTCGAAATAATGTTTTTTTATGGGCTCCAGTAAACGCATATCGACGGCGGATACAATGAGCACGCATACACGCACGCACACACTAACTTCTTGTTCTTTGATTGGCCCGGCAGTCTTAAACAGGCTGATACTGGGCCACTGAGCTCCGCGAAAAATATAGATAAAAATCAAAATGATGAAATGCAAGGCACAATCGAAGTCGACAACACTTTTCAAAAATATTGGTCGAGGCGCACGCACGCATAACTCACTATAAAAAACAGACAAAAGAATACTGACGCTGAGAAGCATTCTTCACTATGGCGAGGAGACTCTGGAGTTATCTGCATGCATCATTTTGTATATAAAACAATTTAAATCACAAGTACCGCCACGATAAAGTGACTATGACATCATTTATATCGTTACAGTGTCGCCGTGAGAAGATGATTATATTCTTATAGTTCATTACTTTCTTATACGTTTTAATTGTTGTACACATATCTATTTTTCTTATAGGTTGTAAGCTATACATAAATAATACAAAATAGAAGTGAATATTATGGAAAAAACCAAAAGGATATATAATCATATTTGAAAAACATTTATTCAAATGAAAAGAAAAAGAAAAAACGATGATTTTTATATCAAATATAATTAATCTGCAGTCAATTTTAGCCTTCGAAGAGAATAATATATATTTTTCGCTATGGCGAGGATGCACGAGAGTTATATACATTATGGTGTATAATACAGTGTAAATAAAACAAGTCGGATCAAGAATGCTGTCGATCGATATTGGTATCGCTCATAAGGTTGCAGCACTCTTTATATAATATTATGAATAATATCTCACAATCTATTTCATACCTGATATTTTTGAACATAAGTTTGTGGAACCGATTTTACAAGTTTTTTTACTTTTTAATATGTCATAGTATAGTGTAGATCAAATTTTTAGCTGTAATTAATTTTTAAATAATTTTTAAATAATTTTTCTGAGGCCTTTTTTGTATTTTATTTCAAATAAGTAACTACTTATTTTTTTTTACCGAGTCACGCGTATACATAATTCGCAACACGATAGACGTTGGTTACTATTTATCTAAACAGAGTATGATAGCGCGTAGAGGCAGTGGATATTGAGGGAGAGTAAAGAAAGTGCACGATAAAATAATGTAAACGAAAAAATTTTTTATTCTCACATTTATTAACTTTATATTTTTTAATACATATTTAAAAACTTAAGCTAATATGATCGTAATCAACGAGCTAGCGTTTGTCGAAGATATCGCTGTCGTGTATAGCATTCGCAACGTTGGAGAAACGTGTATAACGTAATGTTGAGTCAAGCATCATCATCATGTATATCCAGGTGTAAAGAAAATCATCATATATATCAAATGGTGTAAAGAAAACACATAGTTGCTTTAAAAAAAATATGTATACAAAATGGATAATTTTTTAAATACACAACTATGTGTTTTCTTTACACCATTTAATTTATCTCATTATTCTGTTCACAAAAGTATTAAGGTATGATAATCAAAAAATCAACAGTTTACGAATTATTTAACATTTTGTGTCAATATGTATCAAAATAAAATGTAAAATATCTCGAAAACTATTGGTTTTTTGGTATCTCTACCTTAATACTTTTATATGCAAAATAATTAGAAGAATCACGTTATCTAAAAAAAATTACATAATTCCATTTAAAAAAGTTGAGGTGACCTTCATATCTTTTTAGCGCCTCCACCAAAAAAACAATTATTGACATCACATTATGTGCCCCTCGAAACCAAGCAACTTTTGTTTGACACTTGTTCTTCTATTGTCAAAAACAAGCGAGTTATTCAGGTGAATAACGCTGTTTTAACGCCCCTCCTTGATATTATAAAAATTTAAGACGTACAAGAGAGAGAGTATTATAGCACATTTTTTCTTTATTTACAAAAACATTAATTTTTTATTTTTTAAATGTAACTTTACAATCGCAGATGTACGAAATAAAATTTATTTTAATTAGCGTAATATAAGAAATTTTTTAATAACATTCAGCACAGTAGGACATGTTACAACATGTCCAGGTGGTGATATCATCATTAATGTAATTTAATACTAAACGTCACGTGAATTTTTTCTAGAAAGATCGGTAACATGTTCAAGCAATGATCTCATCGTGTAGTTATAAATAGATTCACGTTTTCACGCATGCGTGAAACATTATATAATATGACATGTCACAACAAGATCGAGCGATGACATCATCAATGTCACGTGATCAAATTTTTTCTAGAAAGATCGGTGACATGTTACAACTTGTTCAAGCGATGATCTCATCGTGTTGTTATAAATAGATTCACGTTTTCACGCATGCGTGAAACATTATATAATATGACGTGTCACAACAAGATCGAGCGATGACATCACCACTGTCACGTGATCAATGTCACGTGATCAAGTAATAGTATAAAAATGTGAGATTGAGGCGCATCGCGCCATTAATCATTAGTAATCCGATACAAATGGAGCGAGACAACATGGAGCGAGATTTGATAGAGCAAGTTACCCTGCTTGATACCAGAGAAGAGTACGTCGCGTGGGAACAGCGTTGTGATGAATTCATCGAATCTCTGGAAGAACAGAGTCGCATCAAACGCCCGCGATCGATCTGTAATAGACAATCAGTGATCGCATGTATCGCGCGGATCGAAAGTTTGAAGGATTCGGTGCGCGAACGATTCGTGCACGTGAGCGCCGGATATGGACTTCGATGGCGCGAGATCGACGCTGTGTTCGAGAATCGTGTTCTGACCGGTGCGGTGATAAACTCTGGACACATAGAGCCGCGACAGTTTTTGGAAGACGCCGGTAGTGTGGTGCTCGAGCGTGTGCGGGGCGCTATAGAGAGACACGGCAGCGTGAAAGCGAACACCGCGTTCAACGGTGAGTTCGTAGTGGGCGATAAACGCACCGTTATGGGTATAAACACGAAAAACTGCGAACTATATCCAGCATCGAATGTGCGCGAGTGGTACGAGCGGCACGTCATCGAACCTACATTAGCGTCGCTCGAAGAGTTTCAGGAGCGTGACAGCGGATGGGCGCTCTCGCGTATATTGAATTTGACTCTCAATGTGAACAAACTGAATCCCATGCACGCGGGATGCTGCATCGAAGTGCCGAAGAAAATTAAAGACAAAAAAGCGGTAGTTAACGTACGCTCAGAGGACAATGCGTGCTTCGCGTTGTCGATGGTCGCAGCTCTGTACTCAGCTAAAAATCATGTGGACCGGATATCGTCGTATCCGCCTTACGCTAATGTGTTAAATCTCGATGGCATCGAATTTCCGATGAAATTCAAAGACATTAAAAAGTTCGAACGTTTAAACGCGGTGTCGATCAACGTATTCGGCATCGAGGACGGGAACATCCTTCCGCTTCGACTCAACGATGACAAGAAGGAGAAGCATGTAAACATGCTATACATACAAGGTCCACGCAACGATGGAATCGGTCATTTCGCATGGATCAAAAATCTGTCCCGCCTCGTAGGATCGCAAATTAATAAATATGGACACAAGAAATTTTTCTGCGACCGGTAAGTACAATAAGAAAAAAATAGTCAATAAAATATTAAATAAAAAAAATTGTTGTACTAATAAATTTATGTTACGTTTTTTTCAGATGTCTACATTATTTTTGCTCCGACGAAAAATTGAAGAGCCACGCAGTGGACTGCGATAAATTAAATGACTGCGCCATCCGTCTACCGAGCGAAGACGACAAGTGGTTGACCTTCAGCAACCACTGCAGGAAGGAGCGGGTACCTTTCATCGTATACGCCGACTTGGAGTGCGTGCTGCAAAAGACCGAAGACGCATCAACGCCATCGGCATTGTCGTACGCGTATCAGCAGCACGAGGTATTTAGCATTGGATACTACGTGCAATGCTCGTACGATACATCATCGGCGTATCGGTTTCGTCGCGATAACGACTGCGTCAGCTGGTTCGCGGGCCAGCTCGAGGATTTGGCGCATCGCGTGAAAAATATAATATCCACTAACCGTCCTATGGATTTCACGTGCGATGACTGGCGGAAATTTAACAGTGCAACGCACTGTCATATCTGTGAGAAACCGTTCGCGCCGGACGACGAGCGGGCACGCGATCATTGCCATCTCACCGGACGATACCGCGGTCCAGCGCATGTAAATTGCAATTTGAATTATAAGGATTCATTTTACATACCGATCGTCTTTCACAACTTATCGGGATACGACGCACACTTTGTAATTAAAGAAATCGCTACCAAATTCGAGGGACACGTAGATTTACTTCCTCTAACGAAAGAAAAGTACATTTCATTTACGAAACATGTCAAAGAGACTAGTGATAAAGATTTTCGAAATTGCGTAAAATTAAGATTTATAGACTCGTATAAATTTTTGAGTGCGAGTTTAGATAAATTGGCGTCATATCTCGATAAGGATAAATTAAAAATTGTACGTTCCGAATTTTCGGCTCTATCGGACGAAGATTTCAATCTGCTTACTCGTAAAGGCATATTTCCTTACGAGTATGTAGATTGCGTAGAGAAACTCGATGACACGCGTTTACCGCCGCGCGAATCTTTTCGCAGCTCGCTGACGGGTGATACCGTGTCCGAGAGCGATTACGCGCACGCCGCGAACGTATGGCAGCGGTTCTCCGTGCGAACGCTCGGCGAGTACAGCGATCTATACCTGAAAACCGACGTATTGTTGTTGGCCGACGTTTTCGAAAATTTTCGCGACAGTTGCGTCGCTAGTTACGATCTCGATCCCGCGCATTACTATACATTGCCCGGTTTCACGTGGGATGCCATGCTGAAACACACGCGCGTAAAATTCGAGTTGCTCACCGATGTAGATATGGTGACGTTGATCGAACGCGGTATACGCGGTGGCCTCAGCCAATGTTCCGGCAGATACGCAAAGGCTAATAACAAGTACATGCGTTCGTACGACTTGTCGAAACCGTCGTCATACCTGATGTATTACGACGTTAACAATCTATACGGATGGGCGATGTGTCAACCGCTGCCCTACGCCGATTTCCGATGGGTTGAAGACGCCGCGAACTTTGACGCGAGAGCGATCCCTCCGGATTCGCCCACCGGTTACATTCTCGAGGTAGATCTCGAGTATCCGCAACATCTTCACGACGCGCACGCTGATCTGCCGTTCTGCCCGACACGCGATAAGCCGCCTGGCAAGCGCGAGGATAAACTTCTCGCGACTCTGTATGATAAACAGCGTTACGTCATCCACTACCGCAACCTTCAGCAATGTACACATCACGGCCTTCGCGTCACGAAGGTTCATCGAGTATTGCAATTCACTCAATCCGCCTGGCTCCGTAATTACATTGAACTTAACACTCAATTCAGAACGCGCGCAAAAAATGATTTTGAAAAGAATTTGTACAAATTGATGAACAACGCGATATTCGGCAAAACGATGGAGAACGTGCGCGATCGCGTCGACGTGAAATTAGTAACTACATGGGATGGGCGGTACGGCGCGGAGGCAATGATCCCGAAACCGAATTTCCACAGCCGCAGCATCTTTGCGGAAAACTTGATCGCGGTCGAATTGCGTAAACTCGAGGTGAAATTCGACAAACCGATTTACGTAGGTATGTGCATACTCGACATATCGAAAGTCTGCTTGTACGAATTTCACCACGAATACATGGTACCTACGTTTAATGAAAATTGTAAAATTATGTACACCGACACGGACAGTCTCATTTATCACGTCGAATGCGACGATGTGTACGCGGAGATGAAACGTGATATCGCTCGATTCGATACGAGCGACTATCCGATGGACAACGCGTACGGTATGCCTCTCGCGAATAAGAAGGTGCCTGGCCTGATGAAGGACGAAAACAATGGCGCGATAATGACCGAGTTCATTGGACTCAGAGCGAAGATGTACGCGTTGCGCGTAGACGGAAAGGAAGATACGAAGAAGGCAAAGGGTGTAAAGAGCAACGTCGTAGCGCGAACGATAACGTTTAACGATTACACCCGTTGCTTGAACGAGGAGATCGAAATGACGCGTAGACAGTCATGTATACGATCGAAACTACATCAAGTGTATACGGTGTCCGAAACGAAAATTACTCTGAGTCCATATGATGATAAGCGATATATTGTGTCAGGTTCTACCAACACGTTACCATGGGGACATTATCATTGTAATTGAAAAATATATACATATATTGTGTATTATCTATATTTTTTAAATAAAGTATAACAGAGAAGAAAAAAATTATGTTTCTTTATCAACCTCCCGCCCTTCCCAACTGTAATCCCTTCTTTAAAGAATAAGTGCGTTGATAACTGTTCTTGGAACAGGTATATACTGATGATAACACATGGATGATACTGTGGCTTTGTGAAAAGAAATTTTTTTCAATTGATTCAAATTTAAAAATAAATAAATAAAAATATAATGATTGTATTCAGTATAGTTATAGTAGCAGTAGTAGTAGTACTAGTAGTTAGATCAAGGATATAGTACCCTCTCTCTTGTGCTTCGACAATTTTCGATGTACATATTATTTACTAAGTATATTTCTTAACGCTCACAGCCTTACGATTGAATGAAAAAAAGTTTTATATGTATATCATAAGTGAGTGATACGATTCAAGTTCATCTACATACATCACACACACACAAACACACTCACACACACACGCGCGCGCGCACGCACGTACACAATACGTACTTACATAATACATATATGCATAATACGTATATGCATAATACGTATATACATACATACATTCATACATACATAGATAATATACGTATTATCGTATCGATAATAAGTAGATAGGATAGGCCGGTTCAGACTCATGGGGCAATGAGGGGGGGTGAGGTGCGCGGGGAA